AAGACTTAAACATCAGACCTAACACCATAAAAACCCTAGAAGAAAACCTAGGCAAAACCATTCAGGACATAGGCGTAGGCAAGGACTTCATGACCAAAACGCCAAAAGCAATGGCAACAAAAGCCAAAATAGAGAAATGGGACCTAATCAAACTCCACAGCTTCTGCACGGCAAAAGAAACAGTCAGTAGAGTGAATCGGCAACCAACAGAATGGGAAAAAATTTTTGCAGTTTACCCATCTGACAAGGGGTTGATATCCAGAATTTACAAAGAACTAAAACAGATCTACAAGAAAAAAACAAACAAGCCCATTCAAAAATGGGCGAAGGATATGAACAGATACTTTACAAAAGAAGACATACAGGAGGCCAACAAACATATGAAAAAATGCTCATCATCACTGGTCATCAGAGAAATGCAAATCAAAACTACATTGAGATACCATCTCACACCAGTTAGAATGATGATCATTAAAAAATCTGGAAACAACAGATGCTGGAGAGGATGTGGAGAAATAGGAACACTTTTACACGTTGGTGGGAATGTAAATTAATTCAACCATTGTGGAAGACAGTGTGGCGATTCCTCAATGACCTAAAAATAGAAATCTCATTTGACCCAGCAATCCCATTACTGGGTATATATCTAAAGGATTATAAATCATTCTACTATAAGGACACATGCACATGAATGTTCATTGCAGCACTGTTTACAATAGCAAAGACCTGGAACCAACCCAAATGCCCATCGATGACAGACTGGATAGGGAAAATGTGGTACATATACACCATGGAATATTACGCAGCCGTCAAAAACGATGAGTTCACGTCCTTTGTAGAGACATGGATGAACCTGGAAACCATCATTCTCGGCAAACTGACACAGGAGCAGAAAATCAAACACCACATGTTCTCACTCATAGGTGGGTGTTGAACAATAAGAACACATGGACACAGGGAGGGGAGCACTACACACTGGGGTCCATTGGGGGGAAATGGGGGAGGGACGGGGGGGTGGGGAGGTGGGAAGAGATAGCATGGGGAGAAATGACAGATACAGGCAAGGGAACGGAAGGCAGCAAACCACACTGCCATGTGTGTACCTATGCAACAATCTTGCATGTTCTTCACATGTACCCCAAAACCTAAAATGCAATTAAAAAAAAAAAGAAATATGCTCTATCAACATGTTGGGGTAAAACTGAGCATAGAGCAGTTAATAGAGAGAAGGGGCAGGATCTCTTGAACCCCAAACTTTGACCTTTCCAGGGCAAGGAATCTAATCTAGGCATTTCCTGGGAAGGCTGAAAGGACCTGCCAATCAAAAAAGACATTACAAACACGTTTCGAGGCTCTCCATTTTCAACAGGTTTGCTCTAGGCAGCAGGACAGAGCAGAAAGAGGCAGGCTTTGGTGCCAGGCAGCGTTAAACTTGAACTTGCATTATCACTTATCAGTCCAAAGGAAATTGGCAAAAGATAATTTTAAAATCTGATTCCTCATAGGCAAAATGAGGATAAAGATTTCTAACTCAAAGATTTGTTTTAAAAATTACATCAGATAATATAGGCTGAGTACCTTTCTGGTACCTAATGTCAGCAACGTTGAGTAAATAGGAGCGCTTATTAATTTAATCGTTAGTTAAAAATACAAACAAGCAAAAAACCCAAAAGACATTATACATACAGTATGGGTTCAACTATTTACAAGTTATATGGAAAAAAAAACCCCAGCACTGAAATATGCCAAAATATTTAAGGTTTCCTATATGTGACAAAATACAGGTTGATATATTTTCTTTCTTTATGTCTTTCTAAACTTTACAAGCTGTATGTAATTTGCTCGTGTTACTTCTATCAGAAAAAAAAGCAAAGCAAAAGAGAACTAATCCCTCCTTTTATGTGGACCCTAAGGAGATGTTTTCATTACATCTAGGAAGATAGGGAATGAATTTCAAATTCATAAATTAAAATACCTGATTTGTTCCTACCAAAAATAGGACATTACATAATTTCCACAGGTAGCAAGGAGTCAGTCACTATTTGAGTGTTAGTATCTATACTAAGGATAACAGTTCAGTTTCAGCTATCAAACGCTATGTTTGATTGCAAAAGTCTAACTATACCATTGATTCAGACTTTGTTTGTAGTTTTGCTTACAGTAAAATCTGGTCAGAATTAGTTTTTATGTACATGTGTATTTGCAAGTCTACATAGTTAACTTTACACAGTTCCTTTACCTTGATGTGTCTTAAGTCCACCATTTTAAAGTTTGATATTCCATCCTAAGCCAAATTTTTAGAATATTTAATGATTATTTTGGTTGTCAAATAATAAGTACAGTCTTTGAGATATTGTAACAAAATTTCTTCTTTAAGAAAATTGTATTTGGGGGTCATAATATCCCAGCTTTTTACTTCCTTTCTTTGGCAAATACCTTTTAAAATAAAAATGGATATCCTTTCCATTGTCCCTTTTTCTGACTTACAAAGGAACTCTCTTAAAGAGAGATCTCTATCAGCCGTAACGCAGAATTGATTTATGAAAGCTGACAGGGCAAGAAAGTTTTTCTACACAGAGACAGACATGGGAATTTCTACAAAAGGATGTTAACATTCTCCTTTTTATTTGGCTTCCTTCATCTCAATTTTCTGTGAAATGATACACCCAGAAGCATATCTCAAAGTTCACACATTTTACCACTTACCTGTACAGTCTGGGCCCCAGTGGCCGGGACAACACCGAGGTTGGAGATATTCCTTCCTACAAATATGGCGGCATCCGGGGAGAAGCAGAGAGTATGTTCTGATCTCAAAGGTGTACCTTTGGAGGGTAAAGAGAGGACAGTAACTCACGATTAGAGCAATGCAGCTACTCTAGCTGGTAGAACTGCCTTAGCTTTCAATGTAGGTCTTAATACTTACCTGTGGTTAAAAAAATCTAGATGGAACATATTTGGCTTTCTAAAACTTAATTATGATTATTTTTAATTGTGAGAAATGGGTGAAAAAAATCAGAGAACCGTGAACATGGTGGAGAAATGATAGGAGAAGTAAAGTTAGTAGATGAAATAAATATTACGGCCTAGGCACATGCTAGTGATGTGCCTAAAACTTATCACTGAGTGTTCCAGCAGTCAATGCAGGAAGGGAGAGAGCATGAGTTACACAATGCACAGGATGTGTGGATTTAAAGCAAATCCATTGCTCAGGCTCAGCATATTGATACAGATACTATGGATGGAGAAATGCCTGTGGCAGAGACAGTGTAACGCAGCAAGGAACATTTGTCACAATATCCTAGTAGGAGATAATATGATGACTTTCTTAGAAGAGTTTTAGTGCTGGCTGAGACATAGTTCTGGAATAACAATTCTATGGAGGTTAAACACCATTGTCTATGTAAAGGGATCTCTGCAGGCATGGCTTATTTTAGGATTAGACTTTAGTATCTAGAGACAATCCTTCATAATTGTTTCTTTCTATTTCTTTCAGCTGGGCTGCTGTTAAGAATAATGTGATGGTGAGTTCAAAGTTGTCCTCCCAAACCAGTCTTTGAAATGTAGCTGATGAACAGCACAGTCATATACTTTATGGACAGTCAAATTGGGGAAGGAGTTGACTTTTTTTGAACGATTGAGATTACTGGCAGGGACACCTCTTTGCAAAGGTGGACCGGAGAGTTCAAGGGCAGAACCAAATATCCCTTCAGGAACTAATTTTGAAAGAATACAAGTGGCCAATAGGTATATAAAAAGGTGCTCAACTTCACTCAACACCAAGGAAAGGCAAATTAAAACCACAATGAGATACATCCTCACAGCTATTAGAATGGTTATTGTAAAAAGCAAACAAAAACATGCAAGAAGTGTTGACAAGCGTGTGGACAAAAGGGAACACTTGTACACAGCTGGTGAGACTGTAAATTGGTATAACTGCTACAGAAAAAAATATGGAGGTTCTTTAAACATTAAAAATAAAACTACCTGATTCATGATTCTACTTCTGGTTATATATCCAAAAAAATTGAAATTAGGATCTTAAAGAGATTTCTTCACTCTCATGTTCACTGCAGCCAAGACGTGGAAGTAGCAAAAGCCAAGACGTGGAAGCAAGATGAACATCAATCAATGGATGAATGGATACAGAAAATGTGATATATACATACACTGAAATATTATTCCGCCTTGAACAAGAAGAAAATCTGGTAACTTGCACATCATAGATGAACCTAGAGGATATCATGCTAAGTGAAATAAGCTAGACACAGAAGAACAAATACCATATGATCCCACTGAGAGAAGGAATATAGATAGAATGGAATGGTGGTTGTTAAGGGTTGAAAGGATGAGAAAATGGGAAGGTATTGTTCAAATGGTATAAAACTTTGATTACAAAAGATGAAACCATTCTATAGATTTAGTGCATATAGTAAACAACAATGTAATAGCTGCTTAAAAGTTGCAAAGAGAGGAGATCTTATGTAAAGCGTTCTTATTACAAAAAATAGGGGGGAGAAAACTTTTGAAAATGACGATGTGTTTATGACACTGACTGTGGTGTGGGTTTCATGAATTACACTTATCTTCAAATTCATCAGGTTGGGTACATCAAGAATGTCCAGTTTTTTTGTATGTCAGTAATATCTCAATAAAGTTGTTTAAAAAAAACCCAAATAACATAAAAGAACCAATCTTGAGTTTGTTCCAGCGTAGATAATGCCAGATCAAAGTTTCTGAATGCAAAAATTTTATCCATGTGCATGTGTATGTGTGTGTGTGTGCTTGTGTGTTGGGATATAACCAAGTGGCCACTTTGGCAATGAACAAAACAGTAGCCAGTACCAAAATGTTTTCAGTAAAGTAGCCATTTAATTTTAAACTTCAACTCTGATTATCTTGAATAAAATTCTGATAGAAATTGAAATGGGTTGTCAATGTGTGCCTGCTTTGGTAATTGAGAGTTAACTGCTGCATATGCTTGCTAATTATTTTTTCTTTCTTTCAGAAAGAATCAGATAAGAGCAAGTCCTGATTATGCAGAGACATTAGTCACGTGCAATACCAACTCCAATCATCATATTCGAATCTACCCTCCAAAAGGAGGAACAGGTAAAGATTGCCCCACCTGATAATACCCAGTGCTTGCTAATTCTAGGTTAGTTAATACTGGGAAACTTTCTTTAATTTAAAATGATGATTTTGATTTTAGAATATAGTGTGGTCACATCAAGCAAATGTGAATTTAAAATAGTGTGCTATAGTGTTAAGGTGTCATTTCAAGCAAAATAAAAAATAATCCTTCAACCCAGAATTAAAAGCAAACTCATTCAGTACAATGTAATACATGCTTAAATGTTGCAAAGAGAGGAGATCTTATGTTAAGCGTTCTTATTACAAAAGGGGGGGGGGAACTTTCTAAATACTATCTAATTTCTAAATAAATAGGCTGAGTAAAAACAAAATTGCATTTACAGTTGAACCCCATGGCTGCACCCATTAGCTGGCGAGCATAACCACTTGTCATTCTTTGGCAGTATTAGCCTTGAATTTAGAGTTTGGAATCCCAAGAGGTCTTCAAAAATGCAAAGTTCACATAAAATACAACCATACTGTAATTAATTTCCCTTCCTTATTTGAATTCTAATTAGTATCAAGGTCCATAACTAGTTAAAAAGATGACTATCAGGCTCAAGGCTTTTATCACATTTAAGACTAGAATTCTTTCCAAATTAAATAAAACCCAGATTGTCAAAATACAGGGAAGATGAAAAGAGAATGTTTATGTGCAATACAAGATAAGTCAATTTTGTATTAAAATGTGAAGGAATAACAATATACATTTTATGTTTTTAAATTTTTTTGAGACATAGTTTCACTTTGTTCCCCAGGCTGGAGTGTAGTGGCTCCATCTCAGCTCACTGAAACTTCCTCCTCCTGGGTTTAAGTGATTCTTGTGCCTCAACCTCTCAAGTAGCTGAGATTACAGGCAGATGCCACCACGCCTAGCTAATTTTTGTACTTTTAGTAGAGATGGGGTTTCACCATGTTGGACAGACTGGTCTCAAACCCCTGATCTCAAGTGATGCTCCTGCCTTAGCCTCCCAGAGTGCTGGGATTACAGGTAGGAGCTACAGCGCCCCGCCAACAATATGTATTTTAGACTTAAGTGCATAAATTGTGAGTTCCCTACATTTGGGCTTATTGTCCTAAAGCAAGAGAAAAGCCATAGTTTTCTCTTTGCAGTTTTTGAGATAAGTGGTTTCAAGCTGGATTCACAGTTTCAGCACATTTATTTTCTCATGAGTACCTGCAATCTCGGACTCCTACAGTGCCATTGGTAATCTTGGTGTAACCATCCGGGCAATTAACTTCAAGGTTGAGAAAGCAGGCTCGGCACTGAGTCCTAATTGTAAGAAGAGACTTCTGATCACATCTTCTTGTCTGTGGAAATATGAGAAACGAACATTAATTCCTATTTTCAGAATCTTGTAAAACATCTAGCAAGGCCAGTAACGTCTCCAATCATCTCAGTGCAATGTCAGAGATGGTGATAAGGTTGATTGGTAACGACTGGTTCGCTCCTTTAAATCTTATCTGGAAAGAGTATTGGGATCGATAAGCAATGTCTGCCATGGCTGTAGGTGAAAGAAGTGCCAGTGCCTTGGAAGATAGTTACTGTTTCAAAGATATTTGCAATCTTTAGATGACAATCCAACTGAAAAGTAGGCTCCAGGAGAGCAGGGATCTTTCTCTGTTTTGCCCACTATTGTACCCCAAGCTCTAAAATAGTGTCTGACGCATAGCAGTGCTCAGTGAGTACTTGTTGATTGAATGAATGAATTAGGGAAAGCAGAATGTTTAGCAACATAAGGTGGTGGCGATGTAACTGCTAAACTGAATGATCCAGACTCAGTTTGGCATGTCTTTAGGATCCCCTGTTGCTGATAATGCTGAGGCTGATCCTCCCCGAAAGACACCTTGCTTTCCTCAACTTTTCTTTTCTTTTTTTTTTTTGAGACGGAGTTTCGCTCTTATTTCCCAGGCTGGAGTGCAATGGCGCGATCTCGGCTCACTGCAACCTCCGCCTCCTGGGTTCAGGCAATTCTCCTGCCTCAGCCGCCTGAGTAGCTGGGATTACAGGCACGTGCCACCATGCCCAGCTAATATTTGGTATTTTTAGTAGAGATGGGGTTTCACCATGTTGACCAGGATGGTCTCTATCTCTTGACCGCGTGATCCACCCGCCTCGGCCTCCCAAAGTGCTGGGATTATAGGCTTGAGCCACCGCGCCCGGCCTTCCTCAACTTTTCTTAATTTCCCCATTAAGCTTAAGATGGAGCAGTTTTGTGCAACAAAGAGCGACTAAACTTGGGGACCAAAAGACCTAAGTTTGGAGTCAAGTTCTGTGTCTTGCTAAGTGTACAATCTTGAATGAATTCCTTACCCTTTGCCATCACCTATGTAGGGGAGATATTAAAAACCACTCTCGAGGTTACTGAGACCTTTAAATGATGAAGGTCATTTAAACAGGTGCGGATTTCCTGGTGAACGCCTGAAGTATCACAGGTGGTGAATGCTGACTCCTGTAACTCTTCACCCACCTTTGTGCCTGTTTTCTCTCCTGACTGGTATGTTCTCTCACGTTCACGGGGCTCCCTAAACCAAATCCTTCAAGTGAAAGGTGTTTTAACACCACCTCTTTCACAAAACCACATTCATTTTTCTTTTTTCAACTTCTGCTCTTCCTCTTGCTGGCCCAGTGGAGCACATTTTGTTGGTCTTTGCTCTCCATTAAAAAAAACCCCTTCTTGGGGAGGATCGTGTCTCATGCATTCATATTATCATCAGCTCATCCACGGGCCTGGCACTAGGTGAGGCATGGTGGAAATGTTACCACTACTTCCAAGTTCATTGAAATATATAACGTCTGCATAAAAAGAAAGTTTACGCCATGCGCAGTGGCTCACACCTGTAATCCCAGCACTTTGGGAGGCCGAGGCTGAGGGATCACCTGAGATCGGGAGTTCAAGACCAGCCTTACCAACGTAGAGAAACCCCGTCTCTGCTAAAAATACAAAATTATCTGGGCGTGGTGGCACATGCCTGTAATCCCAGCTACTCAGGAGGCTGAAGCAAGAGAATCGCTTGAAGCCGTGAGATGGAGGTTGTGGTGAGCCAAGATCGCGCCATTGTACTCCAGCCTGGGCAACAAGAGTGAAACTCTGCCTTTTAAAAAAAAAAAAAGAAAAGAAAAAGAACCTTTACATCTTCAGAACAATCATTGGTTATGCATCCTTTCAAAGGCGTCATCTTATTTGATCTTCACTGCTCTGAAGATAAGAAGGGCAGGTATCATCATCCTTATTTTAGCTGGAAGAAAACTGAGGTGAGGGGTGTTGCAGTGATTTGCCCAAGATCACCCTGTGAGTTTCTGGTCTTGTGATTCCTTGATTCGCCCTTTCTCTTTCCTGCACCTGAGTGGAGTATAGAAAGCTGAAATCTCTATTTTTACCAGGAGCTTTCATTTGGTGATCATCATGAACCAAAATAGCACTAGAAGTTTCTTTATTGAGTAATAATAAAAGCTACACTTAGCTATAGTTTGAATTAACCTCCTTTAATTGTCATTACACCGCTACATCTTTTTTTAAGCAGGCTTTTCTCTACATGAGGGTTTCACATTTGGATAAATATGTGGGGTTACATTACTTTGTCTTTTCTTTCTTAGTGGGCTGGATTTAAAAACCCATCCTTAAGAAACCTCTTGACCTTCAAGTTGCCCTTTTCAAACGAAAAGACTCATTCTATTTCTCATACAGTATTCACAAACTTGTCTTCTCTGAAAAGTAAACTCAGCTTGTTTAAATCAGTTAAGGTCTGATTTCTGCACAAATGCAAACACTTGGTGATGATGATGGTGATTAAGAAGATGATGATGGTGATGGTAATTACTATCATTTGTGGAGCACTGTCAGGAGCGAGACTGAAGCTTGAAGAGTTAAATAACTGGCTCATGGTCAAACAGCTGTGGAGGATCATGACCACTTCTTAGACCTATTTGTTAAACAGAAAAATGAGACCTACAGTTCAAACTCACCCCTACCTAATTTCAAAGCTGGAGCACTGAGCCATTAGGCCATCTTCTGATATTTTCATGAAAACATTATCAGAGCATGTAGCCAACTGGAATAAAAATTGGTGTTGATAGGCCGGGCGCGGTGGCTCAAGCCTGTAATCCCAGCACTTTGGGAGGCCGAGGTGGGTGGATCACGAGGTCAAGAGATCAAGACCATCCTGGTCAACATGGTGAAACCCCGTTTCTACTGAAAATACAAAAAATTAGCTGGGCATGGTGGCACGTGCCTGAAATGCCAGCTACTCAGGAGGCTGAGGCAGGAGAATTGCCTGAACCCAGGAGGCGGAGGTTGCGGTGAGCCGAGATCACGCCATTGCACTCCAGCCTGGGAAATAAGAGCAAAACTCCGTCTCAAAAAAAAAAAAAAAAAAAATTGGTGTTGATAAAAATTTGCCTGGCACAGGTGCAGAATCACGTTTAAGATTCATTCTTGATGGATCAGAAATCAATGCTGTCTCATCGACAGCTGGCCTCACTCTGAGACAACACCTTGGTACGCTTGCTTGAGGATTCGGAGTGCTGATGTACTTCATGGAGGCTACTGGTAAGACCTCCCTGGGGACTTTTACTGCAACTTTATGGAAGGCAGAAGAGATGAAAGAATGAAGGCCTGATGATTTTGTAAAATATTTCTGATCCTTGTGTTCCTTAGTGAGATATCCATTCTGGAATTCCCCAGACCATCTCTCCACAGCCATAGTTATTTTCTACAGTCAGAAAGATGGGATGGTAGATATTCACAATAATGAGACTATTAGAACAAATAAAAAACAGGATGCCAATGTCTGCACTGGAAAAAAGAACAGTAGCTCTAAAATTAGAGATCCCAACAACGGCGGTTTAGCGCAGGAAGAGCAGCAAGTGGGTTAGCACACCTTCAGAAGGATGGTGCCTCACAATTAGGACCTTAGTCTCTACAAGTGTTCTCTGTATTTTATAAAGTCCAGATTGTACCCTTTACCCATGACAATAGAGGAAAACAACAAGCTTTTGAAC